GTATCCAACGGCGAGCCACGAAATCAGTTCGAGGACTCAAATCTAAGCCTTACGAAGAACGCCTCCGTTCACTAGACCTTTACCCATTAGAATATAGGCGTCTTAGAGGTGATTTATTAATGGCTTATAGTATTCTTAACACTTCTGGACATCCTCTTAAACACCTACTTAAGCTTAGTTCGAATAACAACCTAAGGGGTAACACCCAGAAACTGGAAACACAACATAGCAAGACGGAATGTAGACACAATTTCTACTCCTTAAGAGTTGTCAAAATCTGTAATTCGCTGCCAGCCGAGCTAGTCCAGGCGACTTCTCAGGAGTCCTTCAAGAGGCAACTTGACCTATTCTTAAGGACCAAGAACAGCATCACATTATGATTTACCAATCTCTTTTCCTCTTTTATTGTTAACATACCTAGGTTCCTGCCTGGAGGATTTGGTGATCCCCTGCTACTAGACACGGAAGCCTGTTAAGCGAAAGCTTCTTCTATTCCGTCCACAACCATTTGAACCATTTGAACCATTTTGCTTGTTTATCTGTACAAAAGACATACTTTCTTCGGTTGATTGTGGCCTTGCACGAGTTTGGTTAAGCTCAGTAACCACACTTGTAATCCTTTGGCACGATCTCGGTATTCTTTCGATGCCACGAGATCGCCAACAAATACATCTCGACTACAGCCATCAACTGCCTTCTGATATTTGGCTTACGGGGGATTTTATCGGTTAACTGGCACGTAGTCTTCTTGTAGTGGTGTTCATAGTCAACCGCGACTCGACACCATACTACATATTCTCTCTTTACCTCCAAAATACTTGAATGTGATATTTATACGTGATTTGTACTCGATAAGATCAGTAAGTATCTGCATTTAACACACAGATATATTGAAACTGACTCTTATAAATAACATTCGGACTGTGATCAGAACATGAATCACTTAAGACATATTGCCTACACGGACAAGCGAATTCAAAGGAAGTGTTTGATGCACGAATACAAACAACAATTTCCATGTGGTCATCAATACTGTATTTAGATTTGAACTCAATGAGAGCTTGTGCTTCATATTGGCCAAGGTTTTCACTGAAAACAATTACATTGCGGAGACAAGTAACATTTGATATTTTGTCATCCGTTTTTCATTCGTTTTGAAATATCTTCCACAAGTTTATTGAAAATACGAATCAATAGGACTGTCAACATCCGATATGACATCGTCAGAAATTTGATCAGAAATCGATTAATCTGGAACATCTGTCCCACAATGACATTCAGCTTCGCTCAAGGAGATTGGATATTTAAAATGGATGTTCAAATGCTAAACTTGTAGGTTTCTTCTGTATATCCATGTGAACATGTCTACTTTTGCCTATAATGTATGTGTTGCCCATCTATAATAATTTATGCACAATCTAATCTCATACATCTGCGTCGCGGTTGACTATGAACACCACTACAAGAAGACTACGTGCCAGTTAACCGATAAAATCCCCCGTAAGCCAAATATCAGAAGGCAGTTGATGGCTGTAGTCGAGATGTATTTGTTGGCGATCTCGTGGCATCGAAAGAATATCTAGATCGTGCCAAAGGAGTACAGGCGTGGTTACCGAGCGCAACCGAACCTGTGCAGGGTCACGAATAATCGAGTGGTAATAGTATGGCTGTCTTTAGCACAGGTAAACAATCATCGGTACAATTGGTTATAATAATAATTGTTTCCATTAAACCAATCGCGTTCTCTTGATAAAAGTAGGTCACTACACATCTTATGTATCGCTGCAATTATAATGAGTTGGTTGAAGTTTCAACTTCATGGTACATAAGCTTGTTTTTCAATTAAATGATTGCATTGTTACAAATGTCGAACGTGTCATTTACCTCCAAGGTAAATTTGAGAAGACTAACGTACCGCTACCGCAAGCATCACGACTTGTAGATGTTTCAGAAATGAATCATTTCGATGCAAGTAACTCTTGACTATAAACAGTTCGGTCTTGGGTAGAGAAACCCCAGATATTCCCACACGCTGGCTTTTTAAATATCGCCATGAAATTGAATTTCTTCGGTACAATCATGTTCTTTGAACTAACAGTAATATTGTGGACGACCATCATGGTATTGTGAACATTCCAACTATCGTATCTCACTGTGTCATAATAGAGAGACGTAAACCTCTACTAACATATTTCCAGTTTTGACATCTGTCTCTAGTTAATTACATTCGCCAATATCACTCAGGATATAACTACCCCGAAACTGTCCTACGATGGCAAACCTGACAGTATCCTGAGATGGTTCTTGATTTATGGCAGTAGAGAATCCGCATCATTTTGCCTTGGACTGACAAACTGATGTGTCGAATATGGAGTCTAACAGTCTGTGTAGAAAGCACCTCTTTATGCTCCCGGATTCAAAACGAGATCAAGTAGCGTCATTGCAAACTATGGGCCTATTAACGTGACCGCCGTGTGATCAAAAGTCGTTCATACACAAACGGCTGTTACCAGTTTTGCCTATTGAAGGCTTTATTAGCCTTTCCAAACATGAATCTATGACAGAACGCTCCTATTTCGATTCCCACTTAAAACATTTTGATCAAATGGATAACAAAGATACGTCGGTGATGGTTCTATACTTTGATTTTAGTAAGACCCTCGATAGTCTCACACAACCCTCTAGGAATTTCCCATTTGATGTATAATATTTCCTTTTTATGCTGGTCCAAACCTCTGTAACAGAACGTAGGCAAATCGTCCGCTTTGAATCTCGGTACTCTAAGCCTATGAAAGGAAATATGGTTGCCCCGTTACTCTTCCTTTTTTGATAATGACGTGTGCTAACTCTCTTAGTACGACGGACATTTTCTTTTTGTTGATGTGGCTAATTTATGCTCGACTTCCATCAAAGATAGCTATGTTTCGGCGGTAATCTGTGGAGCCATAAACGAATTGTGAGAATGGTCTGCTGTGGAGCCTGTCAGTGAATGTTCACAAAAGTTTAGTCATCTAAATTGGCCGCAGCCCTTAACTTAATATGGTTGTACACAAAGACGTGCTGAAATTCCCCAACGTTGTACGTGATTTGTGTGCATGGTATAACGGCTTTTCTGAGCACATTGCAACCCAAATATTAAAATCAAGAAAGCTCATATGATGAATTTATTTAACACTGAATCTAGATTTTCACATGAAAATGCATCAAACCCATCGCTGAATATGTTATTCTAGTCTGCAGTAATTCAAGGTATAACGATTTGTTGAAAATTGAGGGTGTTTGAAGAGGATTCAGAGGAGATTCTTCGGAGTGTTCCGCTAATATAGATCATCACGGAAGCTGTGGTAAGCTAAAGTTTTAACCTCTCTGGATTAGGCGAATTACAGTTAACTTGATCGTTCTTTACCGACTTATAAATGGAATTTCCTACTCTTCGGCATTCACTCCTTCGTACGCGATGATATGACTCCACAACCTGAACACTAAGGAAAATATTACATCGACCCTGAGGACCTAAATAAAATTTCTTCGTAATTTGCTAAACACTCTTGTGAAATATTACCAATGGTTTATGCGGGTACGGTTTCTATTTAATTGACTGTAAAGCGAAGCGGAACCTTCGAACTTTTCATAAAAATATCCCGAACCCACTTATGTCCTTAGTTGTTATCATTATGATTGACACACCGAAGATATTTTAATCTTCCAGAATTCTTAATTGGTGAAACATGAAACCTCGTATTACACTTACTTGAATAAATCGACTTCTTAGATTTGTTTTACTTTTGCCACATATATAAGACCTCTATGGATCAATATCTGATGATCTTTTACTATTGATTAAAACTCTCATCTTCATATTCCAAACTGTTACTGCTTAAACTCTTATTGTACTGTCAAGTCTTAGCACAATGGTGGTGTATTTTAAAGTCTATGTGTAATACATATAATACTGCTTATTACGATTCACTTTCACAAAGATTTATTAAAACATTATGACATGAAGTCAATAAACATCTGAACATTGCAGAACGAGTTAAGATATTGTAGATTTTATGTAAACACTGTTGAAATTCTCGTGTATAAATGCAACTAGATATACATCAATTTAACGAATTGTTTCAAATCGAAAAGAAACTGTAATCCATAAGCTACCTAGAATAGTCACTCTCATTAACAAATAGAGTAACCGATTAGCTGAAGGACTCAATACTGATACAAGCGTTATGACATCCTTATGGTCTAATGAGCTCATGTGAATGTGCCTTGACCGGTGTTTGGCGATATGTTGGTAGTACAAAAATATGCAGGGTACATGAATGCTGCCATGTCAAATTTAGGAGAGAGTAGAAAAATATGTAGTGGACAAGAATTAAAGCAATCACCTATTTCAAGTGTTTAGTTTTAAGAAAAAAGTGGACTATCGAAGTCCTATGTAATAAAGTGTAAGAGTGTGCTTTGTATCTGTTGATATGTGTAGCTTCCTGTAACTACTGACCTTAATATGAACGTGTTATTTAGAAGAGGATTTCAGGAAGATTGGATTCGAAAACTATTAAACGAGAAACAGTTGCTCATACTTTTATTGTATAGTTAATAGAAGTTTGGACTATGGGATTCTTATATTCTACTAATCGTTAGCTTTTGCCTAATCTACAAACTCGTACTATATACCCTATGGTATTAGACACAACTAATTATGTCTTCATTACTCTATTTTTGTATCACTTATGACTGAGTTGTGTATAAGTGGTAATTTTCTATTTGTAATGCTGTGAAATCGAGTTTTCGAGGTATACTATAGTATACTTTTTGAGTGTGAAGAGAGAATGAATTTACCTTTTCTCCTCACTTTCCCATTAGGACACTAGGTGTTAAGGTATTGATTATTGTTTATTAGTTGTTATGCAATTTGATGAAGAAGGTCACTGGTCTTAAAACAAATATGGACAAACTAATCAACTATCAAACTAGATAGAACAACTAATTTTGTAGTAACGGCATGATCACACAAACCCCAACACAAATCAAGAACATATTCTTTTCTTTTTGGAAGCACAACAGAATCGGAAGTCAACTAACAAAATACAGCTCCTAAACAACACAGTAACTTGACACAAATGAGTGATAGTATAAAACAAAGGTATAATATTTAGTGTTTTTGATGTAGTTGTTAATGAAATTTAAAACCAAATTGTTGAACATCTGGGAGTATCGTATATTGAAGCAAGATATTAAAATACACTATGGATGGATATTTATTTTCAAAGCTTACATGTTATTATCTGTTAAGATGAACAAGAAACACGTAGTTTACGAGACCAATCAGGAGGACGGTATTTAACCCGGGATACAAGATGAAAAGACTACAAAAAAGGAAAGATATTTTCCGAAAGTAAAATAATACCGCGTTACATAAATGTACATGATTTGATAATATTTGTAAAATTTTAAATGATATGGCTAGTAAATAAATCTATTTAGCTATGGGATGACAGAGACTTATGTTTCACGATCATAATTTTATAGGCGCTGGAGTCCAAGGTTGTAGCAGCTTAATTGCAGAATTTTGGTTATCATTCAGGATAATCAACGGCTAGTTTAAATAGAACTAAACAATTAAAGATTATTCTACAAGTGGAAAATCGACCAATTGAGGCGTTAGGTGATATAACCAGTAACCAATAGCAACAATGCAGATACATTCACTATTTTGTCTTCTCTTAGATCCAGAGTTTCGAAATAATTTCAGACCTTCTAGTGAATTCATTATTGCCTCTCATAAATCATTGTTTATGTCAAATGTATTTTTACTGTTACAGACACTACAACTACTATTGTCCTAATATTCTTCGTGATGCACAGTTACATACTGACTACTGCTAAACATACAACGTCAAAATACAGCATATTCGAGTCATTTAAACATTGCAAACTGGTTTAAAAATGACTTGATTCGTACTAAGGGCCAGGAAAAATTAACATTGGTTTTCACCTTGATCAATTGAAATCAATGGTATTTTGATGAATGGATGAAAAATTCGATTAAAAACAAGTAAACGTAAATTGGCATTTTTACTGCTTACCTCGTTATTCAAAGACATATCAGGATTTTTAAAAGGTGTGGTCAATGAGTTGAATAATTGTTGTGCAACTGTATAATCTCCTTTATCAGCTGATTTAATAGCTTCTTCGGCAAGATAATTGCGTAGAACTACTCGAGGATTTACAGACTGCATTAAATTTAAACGTTCAGAGAACTGTGTTTTTGTATTATCATGATTCCCTTCGAAATCAATTTCTAAACGTACTTTGTATGCTTGTAACCAAATAGACCATAGACGTTTATTTCTCTCTAGGTATTCTTGTTCTGTGATATGCTAAATAGAAGTTAGAAAAATACTACTTCGTAAAATATTCTATGTATTACAAAATGACTGTGTACAGTCCACGTCAACACTAAGTGGTGTGTATTACAGTCGGCGGACAAGTAAAGTGCTGTCTTATTGAAACAACCACATCTCAGATGACGATAGTCATAAAAAATACACATAGTTATTCTGCTATACAAGTATAAAAGTAGATATATTGTCAAAGTAGCACTTACCCCATCGGATGCCGGCGACCATACCACAATGGTGTCGGTGTATACACTCTCTGTCTTCCCTTAAACTAAGAGATTAAAATCGCTTCATATCATTCTTTCTACAAACTAATTCTTTCTTCCTGTACTATATCCTTATTGCAATCTTTCTTTTATATATTACCATAAATGAATTAACTACTTTTATGAATCCAGTGTTCATCTTGTTGTGTTAATGAGGTATGACAACTTGGATCGATGCATATATGTGCCCGGTCCTACGTTGTAGCTGACTGACTGGCCTCATCGGATTGTAAAAGAAAAAAAAATAATGAAGGTACACTATCTGCTTTTTGTTATAATTGTATTTGTTTAAAATTATGAATGAGTTATTATCACTTTCTATTGTTCTGATGATAAATAAGTTTTTTAAATCACACGTTCATACTTTACCTACTACATAGGAGTGTAAAAGCTTTAACTAAATGTCCAACAGTTTTTTATTTACTTTTATATTTCGCAACTATATTTTATGCCAATAAATGTTAGGTTTGAAGCTATCACAAATTCACTTAATCTGCGAACGAGAAACAAGACTTGGTGACCAAAGACCAGTAAGCTAGCTATTGATGCGTCCCAGCCCCACTAATTAGAGGGAGAAGTCCAAGCTTGTAATGGAAAGTATATTCTGCGAAAAAAACCCAGAGACGAGCGATAACAACAAACACAATTCAAACCTATATATACAGTGCAAAACCGTCCATGGGGAGAATTACCAAATAGCATACTAAATGACACAACGGACCAATAGCATTCAAGATATTTCCCAGTGGGAAATACGACATGAAGGTGACAAGAGCGCCTTTGGCACGAAAACAAAGAAACTCAAATTTTTTAAATAAAATTACAAAATTAGGTTGTTTCCCAAGTGAGTTCTGGGGATCTAACGTCCCCAACAATAATAAAGACGTCAACAAGATTTACAACTCAGTTTGTAAATCTATTTAGTAGTCTTAGACAGTTGTATTGTTTATATACATTAATTGTAATAATTAATATATACAATATATTTCCCCCTGTAATGAACGAACCACAAAAATAGGCTGCACAAATATGTAAAATTTTGCCTAAATATGGAAGGTATGTTTTTACAGTACAAAAGGTTCGAAGAAGAATTTACGAAATCCAGGTAAAATTTTATAATGAACACAATAATTTCCTTGATAAGCTGGTTTTAAACTCAGTTTTTATAACTTGTATGTTGACTAGCATCAGAGACTTAAACTTGTGAGGACCAGGATAGAGCATCATAAGGATTCAAGATTACTCAGATAATGAGTTGTGGATAGGGAGTTCAGTGCGACAGACGTCTATCGTACTTGACCCGATCTAAGTTACCTGGTTATACCACTTCTATGTGTATTTACGAATTCATCTGCTCCTGTGGAGAAAGCTATGTTGGGCGTTCTACCAGACAACTGAACCAAAGAGTTAGTGAACACCTCCCTTAGTGATTAAGAAAAGGTAATATCAAGTCAATATGCAGCTCAGTTCTATCACATTTGATCGATACTGAACATGTAGAAGACAGAAGTAAGTCATTTAAAGTTATTTATCGTATTCCTACTAGTTTTCCTTATGGTGTTCGATCTCGTCACTTACACATAGCAGAAGCTATAGGGATTTGAGCCAACAATCCAAGTCATTGTGTTCATAAGAAACTTGTACCACTCTTATCTCTCTTGGCCTTAATAAATCATTTTATTTATTATTATTTTTCATATTCTCTCTTCGTTTATTATTGTTTTTTTCTTCACCCCCTCTTACCATTTTATTTTATTTTCTCTCAAATATACGATTCACGGTCTAATTATCTGAACATTTCTCAATACATAATCTTATGGTTTTTATGAATATTATTTTAGTGTCTAAATTGTTTCTAACCATCAATCTATTTCCCATTATGTAACATTGATTCAAGCCTTTATTATTCTTATCACAACTAAGACACCTATCATCACACTACCAATTTGTAATTTCCACTTATTTATGTAATCTATTCCATTGTTATCATCAGAATCATGAACTACCTTGATTGGTTTAATCATTTCGTATATGCATATAAATACATTACTGTATGTTAGAGTAAATCCTGATGAAGATCTAATCGAAAACAATATTGTTCTAAATTACAACATAGGAATTTCTCAAACTTTAACTAGTATGCAAATCACATTCAATCTTGTTTGGTTTGAACTGGTCCTAAAAACAAACATTTTGATCCAATCAGTTGTAAATATGTAGGTCCTACAGGTCAGTTGCAGCCAGGAAAGCTGAGAGGTAACGTCTCTAACCGTTAAGCTGGGTGACACAAGATCGAATCTATCAGGGAGGACCAATTGCTTCACGATTACAGGTACACGGTGCTGATGAGTGCAAGTAGCATGAAAGCTAAGTTTAGGGTTTCCTGTAGACTACCTCACAATTTGAATGAAAGCTAAGTAAATAAAATCGTATTTGTTAAATGTGTTATAAAATACCCCGCTTCATCACCATCAGCTAAAGAATGTACTTCTATTTACCTCTAGTTCTTTGTATAGTTTTTCTTTCTCTTTACTTTTCAAAATTTTCGTTTCTTCTAGTTGATCTATGATATTTTCACGAATGCCGGTAAATTTTGCAGATAGTTGACGATGTCTAAGATAAGTGTAGGGAAGGAAGAGTTAGAAATAAATATTCGATATAGGTCAGAATACAAGTAGATATAATCTAATTGGTATACATATTTCATTTAAACACTTCATTGACTGTTGAGAATGGGGTCAATGTGAGTTTGTAGTCAAAAGAAGTACACCATGAAGCTGTTCACTTTTGGTGTATGGTGAATTTAAACAGTGAGATAAGTAATCATTATGTTCAATTTGCATGATGTTACTAGAACTTGGAACCATTAAAAATCAAATATGTACTATTGTAATCTAGACCTATGGGCTCAGATCAATAGATAAACAGTAGAAAACGATACTGATTAATGTTGATTTGTACGACGAAAGAAATGGAATGTGGGTAACAATGGAAAAGAAGACGCGCGCATCGTTTTATCTGCAGCTCGTTAGCCGGATGTACTTGCACAGGAAGTACATATGCCAACCAAGACTGACCAAATTATCGTTAAAATATCAACAACAAGGAGATCCAAATCATTTCAACTTGATTTGTACGTCCTTTTTTCGATCAATACACGAACTCACATCATAGAAATTAGGGTAGCAACACATTTGTCCTAACTCTGTTCCCACTGTTTAAAATATCTATGAAAATCTTCAGAAGTCAGATTTCTCAGTTCTCTTATCAGTTCATATAGTATTCACAGCGCCAAATACTTTGCTAAAGTAGTATGAACGTGTGATTTAAAAAACGTATTTATCATCTAAATAGTGCATCAAGGGAATCAGTAAGAAGAGGGGATCATTTATATTTATTATTAATAATGGGGGAGATGAGTGGATTTCTGCGACATGTGTTGCACAGATAATTTCTCATAAACTCATCCCATAAGGCTCTAAACACGATAAAGAGCGGAAACAAATCAGATTTAGGTTAACCAAAAGTCTAAGCAACGATCGTGAGCAGTGGTGGGCAACGAAAGCAAAAAAGATGGAAAAAGCATCCGCTGTAGGTAACACAAGAAAGCTTTTCAGACTGATAAAAGAAACCGGAACTAAGAAGTCAAGTGTAAGTGAGATTATATCGGAAAAAGATGACTCTTATCTACTCTCAGTTCAGACGTTTAGAACGGTGAGCGGAACACTTCAAGGAGCAGTTCAGCTGGCCTTTAGCTACTCTACAACTACCCACCATTCCCAGACAGCGTGAATGGAACACTAAAACAGGCCCAAATTCTTAATGAAGTTCAGGAAGCTATAGCTAATCTGAAACGAGGAAAAGAAGCTGGTCAAGATGGATTAACTCCAAAGGTCTTTATGTATGGTAATCGACTTTTAGCGATTAGGTTTAGTATTTTAGATAAAACCTGGGAACTGAATGTAATCCCATCTGACTGGTCGCAATCACTGATCATCCCAATATATAAGGAAAGATCAAAACAATCCTATAACTAGCGTCAATGATTATCGAGAACCTAACAAAGACTCGTAAACTGCAAACACAAGAAAAACAAGTGGAACGTCGTAAGGAGATGCAGTCCCATGGTAGCCGGTGACCAACGATTGGTTCACACGCCATTTGTTCCCGCAGGATACTGGAGCCCATGTGCACTATTGGTTTGGGATCCAGTTAAAGCGCCGGACATTCGCTTTTCGTCCTCTCATTTTCGTAAACAACACCGCCGCCACGAGAGGGCAATGAGTAGGACTTCCGTGGCAGAGGCTGTATACGCGTGGCCGTGTGAGAGTATTTCGAGAGGGAGAGCGGACTCTCCCCACTCTCGACCGTACCAGGGCATTTGGGGATATATATATATATATATATATATATGAAGTTAATCAAAACAACGTGCTATGGAAATATCAGTTGTCTTATATGAAAAAATGATATATTTCTATACGAAATGACAGTAATCATTAGATATGAGCTTCGTACATGACCTTATGAAACTAAGACCTGATTTTTAGACTTACTTATCGAAACCGTATAAATATATTATGAATCGAAATATATAGCCAGTGTCTGAGAGTGGAAAATATATTAGTTGAAGTTAGACACTAACACCGTTGGATGACAGCCGGCTCAGTGGTCTAGTGATTAGGCGCTTGCGCGCGAGACCGATAGGTCCTGGGTTCAAATCTCCCGGGGCGGGATCGTGGATGCGAACTGCTGAGGAGTCCCACAATAGGACGAAACGACCGTCCAGTGCGTCCAGGTTCTCCATGATGGTCTAGCTTCAATTAACTCATGATCTCAGCTATTGAAATTACTGTAATATCTACAAAAAAATTCTTCAAATATTACTATGTTTGGTGTTCAGACGTTGATTAAAGTCTTTTTAGATTGAAAACATTAACGTAAACGTCAGGTGATACAAGAATATATATATTAGTGTTGTATATTTTTTATGGTAATATTTAGTCACTTGGAAATAATAACCATAACAGATTTTTCAATGCATAGAATTAAACAATTAGGAATTCTGTTTATTGTTAGTCAGTCTTCAACAAATAACTCATATGGAATAGATATATGGAGAAAGCTGGACTTACCCAAGTATATTAAAGTTAAGATTCATGATGTTTAACTTAAAATTTAAAAAAAATAGAGAAACGAATAAGTGAAACACTTACAATTCCATATTAATCGGTTCAAATGTTTCTTGTAATTGACTTAAACTACAACATTCTTGAACAATCAGATCAGGTTTTAATAAATCTGCATTATTTTGATATACAACTTGTGACAAAGTATCTTCTAAAGCTAAAAATGTATTTGTGAAATCAGCACCAGTCATTTCCATTGTATTAAATAAATTTTGAATAAGTTCTGTATCTATTTCATCCTTGGCATAAAGTAAACCTAACTAGGGAATGAATATAATAAAGATAACACATTCATAGATCAAATCATTCAATTTTACATTAGCAATTATTAATATCAAGGTTTAACTTGATAATTTCAAGTAAATTGAACATGGAATATACGGTTCACAATAAAAATTAATGATAAATTTGCAAAATGTTAATGAATAATTTGAATTTCTACAGTTTCGTGACCTAGTGTGAGTCAATCCTTCAAAGTAAATGAACCAAATTAAATTAATTTAACAGTTGAATTCATGAGTCAATTCGAGTTAGACCACCATGCGAGCACTGGATGGCCGTTTCTTCATAGTATAGAACTACTCAGCCGTGACCAGTGGAATTCAACCAAGTCTGGTGTGAGGTAGTAACTCACTGAAGACAATGGTGGCGCAACTTCGAGGATTGGTTGGAGTTAGACATTAACACCGTTGGAGGACAGCCGGCTCAGTGATCTAGAAGTTACGTGTATGCGCGCGAGACCGACAGGTCCTGGGTCCGAATCTCGCTAGGCGGAATCGTGGATGATCGCTGCTGATAGCAACCGATAGTTAGAGAACTTCAGTGACATGGCTCAAAAACGTTTGTAATGGCGCAGGTGCATCCACTCTTTATGTCCTCCCAAATTCTAATCTTCTGATTTCTTCATGTCCCTTTCTTTTTTCTCTTTCTAAATTTATTCCACTGGATTATACTCCTTGAACATCTTTAAACCCTAATGTTTCCGATTACTGATTATACTATTACTACCTCTACCACTGTGTGATTCGAATCGACAACTGCATCTCTGTGCTAATGTGGTATGGCAACTCGGACTGATTTACGTACGTACGAAGTTCTATGTTGTCACTGACTGACTGCTGAGGAGTCCCATACTAGGACGAAAAGGTCATCTAGTGCTTCCAGGTTTTCGGTGGTAGTCTAGGTTCAATTGACTCGTGAATCCAACTATTAAACTACTATAATATCTGCAAAACTACTCTCTGATTAAAAATAACACAGATTTAAAAAGAATATAGGAACAAGGTAGAATATTTACTTCAATCTAAAATCACAGAATTATTAGGTCTTTTTTGTTTAGCCAAGGAATATTTAGGCTACACGGAAAGGCCTAATGATCCTGTATATTTTGATTGAAATAAATATTCTACCATTTTTGTTGTGACTTTATGTCCGGCTTTTTATCACGCGATTCATCCACCAATCAAAATACGACTTATACAATCTTATCACCGTGCCAAACCAATGACGTTCGACCGGTATGAGCAGCCTAGCGTCCTTATTGGTCCTACGTCCGTCTAGCCCGTCCACTTGAGTCCGGAACACCAATACCAGATCCCACTATGAGAATCGAATCGAATAATTTATTTCAGACATACTGGGTTTATATATCAATCAAACAGGCCGCAACGCACCACAAAATAGGAAATAACATTTGTACACAATAAAGCCAAAAAGTGGCTGTGAACGTGGGAGGCAGTAGTCAATAAACTGAACATACAATAATAATATATACGTCAAAATAAAGCTTATAATAAGAGGAATATAAATATACACAATTCAATTATTGAATAGTAACGTAGTGAACAGAACACCAGTGGGGACAATCGAATGTATTCAACACAAAATTACAGGACTTGTTCATAAAATCTAACAATCATAAAGTAAATGCTTAATTTGCAAAGTATCCACCAATTGTCTCAAAATGACTCAGACTTCATTGTTCTTGCATTTTCATACAAATTGCATCCTGTTTCCATTGTTTACTGTTCGATCCTCTTGTCTCTCTGCTGCCAGACCTTCTGTTCACGACTAACATCATATACTACTTATGTTAATGTAAGAAGCACACACCACAGTAATACTAAAAGAATGTATAGATAACATTAGTCAATTAATATGTCTCAGAAGTTACTCGTGATTTAATCTTCGCTCAGATATAACAATTTTCACAAGTATCTTTATTTTATTAGTACTTTCACGTTAGTTTACTTTTGTGTAATTATGTTCATTAAATAATCTATGGAAAGTAATCTCTGATTGTTTTTAGTAAACTAAAATTAGCTTGGCCATATATCAGCCATGGAGATCTATAGATTGATCCTTGGTTGAGTTCTGGTTGTATGTTAATGAAAAATATCAAAGAGTTGTCAAGTTCTATTTACTTTTCAATTTATTTACCAGCTACATTGTACTGTTTATAGTGTATTTTAAAATTACAAAGACTTTTAGCTTAGATGGATGCTTTACTCGAATCTATGATTTTACAATTGCATGTCATAAGTGCAGAGATTTGATGACTATACTATAAAATATCATTAACAACATCGAAACTACATCAGGTTTTACAAATTCATGTATGTTGGATTTGTCCACTAATTTCAGGTCCACTTGTAGCTAATTCATTATTTTCTCGAACTTTGATTGCCTTTGATTACATAACTTATATAAATGTTTTTAGATGGTTTAAAACCTAAAACAAATTGATTGCAAAAATATTCTGGAAGAACTTTAAAAGCCTGAGATTTTGTTTCATCGGTAACGACAAATATGGATATATAGGCTCACTTATTCATTTGGTAAATAACTTGGTAATTTTGTTTTAAGAATTTGAATTTCTTGTTTTTGCGCGAAAGGTGCTCATTTTCACCTTCATGTCGTATTTCCCACTTGGGAGAATCTTAAACGCTAATGGTTCGTCGTATCTTTTAGTATGATATTTTGTAACGCTTCCCAACGACAATTTGGTGCTGTATATATACGTTGGATTTGTGCCTGTTGTTTTTATCTCGTGCTTCTGTCTGTTGGCGGAATATATTTCCCCACTTCAGCTTGGACTTCTCTCTCTAGTTAGCGGAACGCGTCAGAACAGCTAGCTTATTGGTCTTTGGTCAGAGAGTCTTTGTTCAGTCTAGGTGAACTCGTAATCGCTTCAAATAGTAAATGAGGAAAGCTAGTCCACGGAAGGAATATCGGAATCGATAGGACAAACTGAATGTGGTACACGAAGAGATTCTAAATTCTTAATATTCAGAAATTGTAATCGATTTCTTATAAAATTCAGGATATAGACTATAGTTTACAGTAAAAACGTACAACTATTAAACCATTATGTGGTCATTCAGCTCAAATCAATTCACTACCTAACTTTCTTTAAATTCTGAGCTTTGAAATCACTGTAAACCTTCTATTCTACGAACTTATTCTTTCTTCTCGAATCATGCATATACATATATATAACTGCTTATCAACTGACCTTTTTACGCATTCTTTCCAAATAGACACTTTTAAAACAAGACATATATGTAGTATCCAAAACATTAGTGAATTTTTTTGTAAGATTATCAACAGATATGCATTCTTTATTCGTTGCTTTATCAGATGAACATTTCTGTTGATCAATTAATGCTTGAATTAAACATTCAGCTAGACGGGCTAAATTCCATGCACAAACACTTGGTTGTTGAGCATATGAATAACATCCATTTGGATCCGATGTATTCGATATATGATCCCAAGTGAACTGATCAATAAAACCAAATGGTCCATAATCAATTGTTAAGCCAATAATACTCATATTATCTGTATTTAATACACTGGTTATTTTATGGAAAAAAAACAAATAAATTGAAAGGTAATTTTCTATGAATAGAGTAAGAGTGATGAGTTGAAAAAAAAACAATTGAAAATCAGCAACTGATGGACAGTAACTTAGTTCTAGTTAGAAACTTGTCAACAGTATGAGCATATACACCACTATACGGAACTGTGGACTATTTATCCCCATCACAATGGTTTGTATGTAACGTGACCTGATGATACCAGATTAAGTTCTGTATATAATCCTGGGGGGTGCACTGATGAAGAGTTAAAATTAGAGGCGGAATGACTATCTAGTACATCTCCCGATTTCAAAGATTTTCAAGTTGATATCAATCTGTGATGGAAACTAAAATTGCTTTTCTTCAGTTGAATATTTTATTGTGAATCCTTCAGTGTCTTTACAGAAAATATCAGCACAAAATTCAAAAGAAATGGGGCATGAAAATTTCTCTAGAAGTGATCAACAGCTGATTTGATTAGTTGTTGCCGAAAGTTTCTTTGCCATGGTCTGAACATTTATTTTGACTGTAAAGCATTGTTTCGTTGTCTTTTACCAATGATCAACCAAGTAAACTGTTTGTGAGAATGTACACACTCATGTCATGGCTATTCAGAATATTTTTGATCACTTCCAGTGTTTGGAACTTTTATTATGAAGTCAACAAAAAGTTGAAATTTTTTGGTGTCAAAGAGAATCGGTTCCACCTGTGTTGTAACAAAGATTATTTCAGTATTGAATTTGTCCAGTTTGGCTATAGATACTGTTTCTTCCATTTTTACACAGAGTTCATTTGAATGTGTTCCTGAACTTTATTGTTGTAGTCTGACATTTACATGGTAGTCGTGGAATTTCCTTTAGATGTTTATGTAATGGTAGGTGTTTTGTCTTTATGTAGCTGCTTTATTGAGTATAGTTGATCGTTAGTTAATTTGATAATACCAAGCTTTTGGTGTAATCACGTTGGTGAAAATTTATCCCTTACACCACTCGCTACTTCATTTCAAAGGTATTTTACAGCAAGTTCAATAGAAAGGAGACAGGTTGAAATCATGAGTCAGTTGAAGCTAGACCACCATTGGAAACCTGGAAGCACTGGACGGCCGTTTCGTCCTGGTATGGGACTCCTCAGCAGTGCGCATCCACGATCCCGCACCACGCGGGGCTCGGACCCAGGACCTACTGGCTTCGCGCGCCAGCACTTAACCACTAGACCACTGAGCCGGCATCCAACGGTGTTAATGTCTAACTTCAACCAATCCACGAACTTGCGCCACCGTACACCATTGTCTTCAGTGAGTTGTTATCTCACAACAGACCGGTTGAACTCCACTGGTAACGGCTTCTCACTAGAACTCCAGGAGTTTTTCTTGAAGTCAGTCACTAATGAGCAGTTGATTATTATCAGAATGGGTTTTGTGGAGAGTTTTAGAAATTTCACGGGTTGAAATCATGAGTCAGTTGAGGCTAGACCACCATTGAAAACCTGGAAGCACTGGACGGCCGTTTCGTCCTCGTATGGGACTCCTCAGCAGTGCACATCCACGATCCCGCACCACGCGGGGCTCGAACCCAGGACCTACTGGCTTCGCGCGCGAGCACTTAACCGCTAGACCACTGAGCCGGCATCCCGCGTGGTGCGGGATCGTGGATGCGCGCTGCTGAGGAGTCCCATACGAGGATGAAACGGCAGTCCAGTGCTTTCAGGTTTTCAATGGTGGTCTAGCTTCAACTGACTCATGATTTCAACCTGTGAAATTTCTAAAACTCTCCACAAAACCCATTCTGAGAAAGGAGACAATCGTGATCTTTTCATGTCAAAATTAAGAGCTTTTCTAGTTAGCAACAGTTTATGCTCGTATAAGCTTCTATATGACAGCTTCATGACTACTGAACATTAAGGTTTAGTTAGAAGTCTTCATCCTGATAAAAATTACGGTTTTACGTGCATTAAGTGAGTTTTTTAAGGTTTATCGTGTTACTTTCTTGAACCTAATGATGAAACTGTTTTACGTACTTCAGAGAGATCATTAAACCGTTAAATCCTTTGATGCAATTAAAGAAAAAAAGCCCTTTCAACATTTCTTTAGAACCATGAGCCAATCTGGTTCCAATGAAATAGCCCTTTTAGGGTAACTGCCGGTCCCAAGCCCGAATAAATGTGGAGAGTTGTTGATGGATTCAGAGGTCCGATTCCGCAGAAACCAATCTTGCTAATAAAAACACTAACATGAAACGAACCTACTTGGGTTATACAACCTTTGAAAACCAAAAAGAACTGCACAGTTTCGTTCCAACTAAGGGACTCCCCAGCAGTATGCATCAACGACCTTGCAACCTGGAATTAAACCCTGCCAGGGAAGTCTTACTCACCGCCTCGCGGTGGCGGTGTTGTTTACGAAACTTGGAGTATGGAAAGCGAATGTCTGGCGCTTTAGATGGCGTTGGTGGACACGGAGAGTTCACCTAGGGGAGTTGGAAAACCCTGATTCCAAACCAATGGTGCACATGGGCTCCAGTATCCTGAGTCAACAAATGACGTATGAATCAATCGTTGGTCACCGGCTACCATGGGACTGCATCTCCTCACGATGCTCCACTGTCTTGTGGATCAGACCTTTAGATCGAAGGCTTCGGGTGTGGCCCCCTAAGAAAACCACCTGCAGTATCACAGCCCTCACACAAATCAAATGATATTTGTGTAGTGCATATGTATTTGGTGCCCCCTTGTATCAATATCTGTATGTTCAAATAAATAAATAAATACTTATTTTCCAGGATGATAAAAATTCAGTCAGTCAGTCAGTCAGTAACAACGTAGAACTTCGTACGTACGTACATCAGTTCGAGTTGCCACACCACATTAGCACAGAGATGCAGTTGTCGATTCAAATCCCGTAGTGGTAGAGGTAATAAGAGTATAAGCATAAGTATAAGTATAAAAATTACATTAATAACGATGATAGTGATAATAAAATTCTGCTAAAAACGGTTGAATAAACAAAGGTATTAAAACATTATTTTTATCAGGCAAACTAATAATAGTTTCATTGTTCAGGGGTTGAATATTCATCATGAAGACAGGTAGGGGAAGCAGACGACTGTTAAAGTTGAAAAGTATGAAGAAGCAAGAAAATCACGGCACTAAGATCATGGTAGAAGAAGTTTTATCAGTTTCTTTTGCAAACAATTCCACTTTTTCAAGATCATGAAGCAATCTGCTAGTAATAGACAGAAAGGAGATATCATTGCAATATCATCCTTTTGTCTATGAATAATGTCGTTGAATGTCGGTTGTACATTACGAATGTATCGTAATAGTTCCTTCAGATAAGCTTCCGATATTCCAATATTCATCTCATTATTATTTATGTACTCGCAGATAAAAGTGGTGGTCTCTGTGAATGGAACGTTAGTGAATAGTGATTCGACACCGAAAGAGAGAGAGAGAGTACAAGTTTATCATTTACATTCACTTGTTTCATTTATTCTACGAATTCAAAAGTATCGTGTAAGGAGTGCATATAATTACGTTTTCTTACGGGTTTTACGACATATGCCAGCCACTTTGCTATAGAGTAATAAGGAGATCCGGACATATCGAGAATTGATCGGAGTGGTAGGCCAGATTTACGTATTTTAGGCAAACTATATGGTCATGGTATTATTGATCCTGTTCGTTTTATGAACTCATAGATATCTTCGTTGATTGACTGATCATCTTTCATCCTCTTAAGAACTTCAATCAGTTACTTTCTTATCATTTCAGTCTTGTTCTTTTCATTGATTGATTTAAAGAAATTGGTGTTATCTGATAATAACTTTTTCGTTTTGTCGACACAGATCAATCCACGATATTGGGTGACTATCTTTCATTGTATTGGTTTAGGTTTCCTCCTCACGTCAGACACGGTTTAGTTCCACTGGTTACAGAGTCTCACAAAATGGTCGTCCAGTACTTTCAGGTTTTCATGGTGTACAAACTTAGATCAGTTCGTGATTTCAATGAAATTCAACAATTTCCACAGTTTCATACTGGCAATTATCAATACTATTAGTTCATGAATGTTATTAATAAAAATTTATAGTGGCTGTAATATATAACATTCCCTTAGAAATATTCTTGTAACAGAGTAGACAGAATTGTCTAGAAATTTGACAATTACAGCTACCTAGTAGACAGATAAGTTTAAACAACATAAACTGAGACATTCAGTGAAGTGTACTAGTTTCTAAGCAAATTTAATTAGATTGCAAATTATCTACATGAATGTTCGCCAAGATTTTTATGAATAATTCCATAAAACCTCTAAAAACACAAGAAAACACAATGTGTTAGGTGTTATTATCAACAAAGTAGGTCAATCATCCACTTAGCTTTGTATAATCGTTCTCACAGTCTTTTTATAGACCTCAACGAAACTCAACTAAAAAGAGGCTACTTTCATTTATCTTATTGTAATTGTAAACAATCCTTAACATTTTGTAAATTATCTGAGAATTTTCCGCAAGTTTAACCCGTAACTTGAAGTAGTCATCGTTCGTATATATGCATTGAATACACATCTTTATCTTCAGCTACAAACATTCTTTGGGATCATATAACATTAGTCAAAATACATCATCAATTTAAAAGTAGTATAATTATTCAGAATAGAAATTATTATTGTGTTTTTACTTTTTAATCTTACCCATGACAAAATCCAACAGTTTGCCAAAGAGCGACTAGGTTAGCTGTACGTTTCACTACTTCTTTAAAGAATTCCACATAACAATTAATAATATCATTTGAATATTCTGACCAAATCTTAATTGACGAATGTTTTAAACAACAGGCAATGCAAAAAAACAAGGATAAAATGAAGACTTTATCCACTTTAAGGTGAAACAATTAAAAAAGTTATTCTAACGGATAATTTATAGTTTCTTGTTCTATTTAGAGACATAGAATCACTGAAAACTGGGAAATAGCAAATATCAGTATGAGAGTTGAATAGAAATTAATGGATCTTATAGTATATATTACGGATTGAACTTAGTTAGACAATCACTGAAAATTATGAAACTTTGACCTAGTATAGGATTTCTTAAAAATGAATATCCACAACCACATCCGGGACCAAATCTCAAACTATTAAGCCTTGTAGCAAGTAATAAACCTTCATATAACAGAGTTGTCATTCCACATGAATCAAATCAACTGTGAAACCATCCCACAATGACATTTGTAGGCAAGCTCTCATGCAATTAATGGTTTTGAACTCCATTGATATTGGTTTCTCATCAGCACTCCGGAAATTACCTCACGAAATTAATTTCCAGTGGGCACATTGACTAGGTTCAAAAGCTAGGAATGCAAACTGTTGGATGCTGACTTAGGGGTTAAGAGCTTAATGTCACACCTTAAAGTCTGAGGGTCCTCGATTCCGTCCCTGGTGAAGTCATGGATGAGCACTGTGGAAGTCATTCATAAGTAGCGTAGAACATGGCCCATATGTCTATCGCTTCAAACTGCTAAACAAATTAGTACAATGAAATGAAATCTTCGAGACAGATCCCAGATTAATAGAGGTGGTAACAGTATGAGTGGTGATAAAGAAGAATAGGGATGAAAGGTACGAATCAAGAAAGAAATATGAATTCGTCGGATAAAAAAGCTTTTAAGATAATTTTAAGACTTGAGATCAAAAGGAAAACAGAGTGAATGCACCTGCACCATCGAGGACGATCCTCGGCCCTAATTCTCTAACCACTGATTACGATAGTCACGCGGACCCCAACCAGGTAGTCCGCATCTACCAACAAGGTTCAGTGCAATGGCCAACGACTTCGTGGCTTGATGCCACATTCTGGTTTGGTCACTTTCAGCTTCCTTCCTTCCAACCTACTCCTATGCCAGTCATGATCGTGCCACAAGGTATGTAGTACATGGGTACACGCAATACATTTCCCAACCACTTTGGTTGATGAAGATTCACTACCTTATCAACCGATCTGCTGTCCGTAATGCTGAGGAGTCCCATATCAGGTTTTTGCTGGTCTTTGATTGTTGTGTAACTAATGTCAGTTTGTGATGCAAATTATGAAATATTCGATAGCCGTTGTGTCCTAGTAAGTTCTCAAGACTTAATAAAGACTACTAACTTTAAACTCAAAAGTGTTTCACAAACCATCCAACAGAAAAATAATTGTGTGTATGCATTAATGACTAGCCCCGAAATCGACTAGCTCGCAGAAAACCTGACTACGCTTACATTTCTCGGTCAAAACTTATCCTCCCGACATCATATGTTCATTTGACTTTGGAGAAATATGTGACCTGTTTGGACTTGCTCAGTCTATCATCCCTTCTATTTTCAAAAGCAGGTTTACCTTTTCCGTTCCACTTGAGGTGAAGCGATAACAATAACATTACATTATTATAGTCATTTTGATGGAACAGAAAACAACTACATATAAACTATACCATTATAACTTTAAAATATCATTAGGAAGATTCATTTCTGAAACAGTTAATATTAGGGAACAGAATTACTTACATGAGGATAAAATTGCTGTATTACATAATTAGTAAGTTGTGATACAATTGTCAAATTACCAACGCTTGGTCCGAAACGTCCAGTAATTGGATCTGGGGACTTAGATATTTCAAAAGATCCAAACCTATGAAAGAAACAACAACAAAAATATAGTGAAAACTATATATATATATATATATATATATATATATATAATTTGTCACAACAGAATTAGGTGAATTACACAATCAAATTCAGCAGAGTGAATAAAAAAAATGCAAAAAACACATTTGACCATGTAATTACGGAAATTTTATCAAACTGATGAGTTGAACTGATAGTTAGTAAACATGTAAGATGAAAGAAGTGTCTAAGATATGTTCAAGCATTGGATTATTAAACAATTTTAGTAATCGTTATGATAAAAAACAGAGTAACGATCTTTCAAAAAGTTTCTCTGAACATTATACTGCTTGGTTATTAAAACGACTACCAAGGTCAGTTAACAGTCCAATTCTTGAACATCGCGTTGATACTGGTCAGATTGCTCCATCAGAATCCTTCTTCAAAGTCATCCGTGGTGTCAAATAAAAGGGTTTTATTCCGAGTACAAGTCAGGAACTTATGTACCGCAAAGGTTTTAGAAATCCATGGACTCCAGCCTATTCTCTATGTGCAGAAACATCAAGTTCAATACCTCATTTTGCTTTGGTCTTAACCCTCACTGTGTTTACTGTGCTTAGTAATCTGTCGCTATTACTTATTTATTATCTCTTCATAATCATTAATCACCTATTATTAAAACAAATAACTATTCTATTTTTTATATTCATCGAATGGATGATCTTTATTTTAACAATTTTTAATCAACTGTCAGGTTATTACATAACTCCTCTTCTAAATTCAATTTTCCAGACAATTGTTGGGATATTCAGGAAAATATCCCAAGAATTATCCTGTTAAGCCTAATGTTATCCTTGGACATGAAATGGTATCATCTTATTGGTGAATATTTGTTTAACGTGTCATTTTCCTACTGGCCATTATTGTACAATGTTATTTTCTATTTTATGGGACGTTGTGGTCTGCTTGACTGGTATATAAACAAAGTATGTTTGAAATATAATGATTCATAACCCAGAGGCTGTGACTTGTGTTCTGGACTCAACTGGCTGGGTTAGATAGGGAAGCGAGACCAATCAGAACCCTAGGCTGTTCTACGTGTTTGTGCGTCTTTGGTCCGATCAATAATTCGCTACCCTTAATCAGCAGCATCATTTTCACGTTATAACAACAATTTACAATGAAATACTACTCTATGGTCACAACATATTAATATACTTCAAGTTGTCAAATATCTTCCAATTCTAACCCATTTCACTTCGATCTATTAGGTACTAACTAATAATATAAATAAATAGTATATAGAAATAAGATATGAAAGATTCTCTAACTGACGATTATAAGGAAGATAGAGAAGAGAAAACAAGCATGTGCCAAGAAACGACTAACGAAGTAAGAAGGAGGATTTATGCCACAGTAAACCAAGGGATAGGATTAAACCACTTTTGAAGCTAAAGATCAGGCCTCCGCTATGTGTAAATCCTTTCGAATTTGAATGCAGATTATGGTGAAAATAGATGACCAGATTTGACCAGGTGCTCAACAATCGAGCTATTGACTGGTTTCCCTTCACCTTTTAATAACCATGCTGAGTAGTGCACGGATAAGCGTATTTGGAATGATCACGCGTTGTCAGGCCAATAATAAAAAGTTCCACAAGAGCAAGTAGCTGATAGATACATATTGAGGTCACCCAAAGCGGTAGTTTATCCTTGGCGAATCCTTATATTAGACATCTCTTGGAAAATACAATTCGTAGCTCATTAGAGTAGAATTTCTCCTTTAAGGATCTAGACAATTGATTTCGTAAGATATCTCCGGCTGCATGTAACTCTTTAAAACTGAGTGTTTATGAACAAAAACTTCGATACAGTAATGAATTGGCTTCAGATTGTTATCAGTATTTGTCTCTTCTTAATTTTGCACCGATTATGTTTCCTGCGTATTGTATTATAATCGCCACAATAAGACATAAATGAATAGGCGAATTACACGATGTTCACTGATTTGACATTATTTATATCTCATTTCGGTCATTCTAATGCAACAATTAAGGCTTTATAACTGTATAGCCTAATGATAATGAAATTATTTACAAAATCCGTTTGCTCGAATACATCAGATTTTTTAATGCTGCTTGGGGTTTTTTAAGCTATGAAATACAAACTCTTGTAATTGATAATCGTATACAAAAAATAATAATTACCTGATGAATGTCTTAGCTACTCTGCTAGTTATACTGGCTTTTTCAGTGATATTATCACCTGTATAAAACATGTCACGTTCAACCAGAGTGTCAGATGTGATAATTGATGCAGCTCGAGTAGTTGGAATGCCTAAATAATACATTGCCTAAAAACGATGGGATTAAGTAAGGCATGATATGAAAACTATAAGGAAATAACAATCAACAATACGCTATTACTAATAAAGCATATAATGTTAGCACGATCGGATACAGGCTACTGGATTCTTTGGTCAGGTTCAAATTGGAATACGATAATTGGTCAGCTTTTCAAACAATCAGTGCTATTGAATGCTAAAATATTGTCACATAACGCCAAAGCATATTAACGAATGACCTTGCAAAAAATTGAGTTTATAGTCATTAAAGTTTGTCTACGCGAAAATGCGTCCCCACAGAAATTTCCTGATGAACATGTTAAGATCAATGAATGTGTTCAGCATCATAAAATTGAAAAGAAAATGTGCTTGCTGTGTCTTAGTTTGAAACAAGACGACTATTGAACTAAACAATTACAGACAAAGTGCTGAAATGAAAATTGCTTATCCAGAATAAAGGCTGTTCACCTTAAGTGAAAAGAACTGCCTCTTATAACAGAAAAAAATAGAAAAGTTTTCTGTTCACACTACCTCCAACTCTATTTACTGACTCACATGTACGGTCCAAAGCACATACACAAGAAAAACAGAGAAAAGTATATGTCCATATTTTCGAGAATGCTATAAAGAGTTTGAGATGATGAAGTGCAGCTTTTTCATCACCAACGTTTATCACTTCATACTATACCATCAATCAACGTTACGTTTTAATAAAAATACAATTGTAAACATTCGAAGAGAAACCATGAAATAGAATAAATCTGTATTACTCTGCCTCAATTTAGGTTTTGGCTTTATTCAAAATATGAAAAAAACAGATTTAGTTGAGTTATACTGGTGTCAGTTAATGATGAAAACCTTAAACTTAAACTCCAACTAGGAATAATGTGTAAACTCGTAAAAATCTATTAGAGACCATTTTAAGGGTTCGAGAAGATGAAGAATCCATATATAAGTATAAATTTCTATAATGATATTTTCTCGATTTCCAAACAGATTAACCTGTAGAAGACATAAATAGGTTTGATGACGATGGAAATTCTGTTCACACTTTGTAATATTATTACTTCTCCCGAATAATATTGTCCGACCGGCCATTTTTTTTTAAAAAAAAATTTTCCAACCCCAAATTACAATATTTTTCATCCCGTGTTTCGTCCAATGAAATGGCTAGTTCCAAAAATTAGATTTAATTGGTTAGTTATGTCTTGAAAATTGTTATAAATTATCAGTACTTGTCGACGAAGCACAATCTCAATCGTCATTATGGAGCAGAGTAACGTGCCGAGTACGAGCGCTGGTGTTTCTCACGTAACGGAAATGGAGGAAGTCTTTTTGACTACCTTGTTTCTGGTTGCGTTTCCATCGGTTGAAGCGTTAAAGACCACTATCACAAATTTTGAAAGATCGACTTACAGTCATTATGTAGTGAGAGATTCGCATATTGGCAGAGATCAAAAATCCTACATTAAATTTGTGTGTTGGCGAAATGGGCGTATAAGATCTAGCGGTTCGTCACAACGTATTAGACGGAGGAGGTAATTTGGTAAATTGTTTTATAATTTTTTTTAATGAAGGGCTTCTATGAACACCCAATGTCCAGCATTTATGTTTTGTAAGATTATAGACGGCTATTGGACTGTTGTACGTGGGAATGTACATCACAATCACGAGTGCAATTCCCTGAGGTACCAGGGTAATTCATGGATGCGCAGGTTAACGGATGGGGAGTTTGAAACTGTGAGACCGCTGCTGATTTCCGGTACCGCTGCATTCCACATCAGGAATTTTGCTTACCAATCTTATGGGAAATGTCTGACCGCTCAAGATGTCTGCAATATGCGGTACAAAGTGTTCTCACACGCGAACCTTCCTGGTACGGAATTTGCCAATTTATAATGTACACTATAGGTGATTACGGGAAATTGAAAGCTCACATAACATCCTTGGGTGGGCTTTGCGAATACGAATTGGACGATGAGAACTGTCTATCGTATTTCTTCTTCATGACTGCTGAGCAAGTGAATTTGGCCGGTCACTTTTGTGACGTAATTGGTTTTGACGGGACGTACAAAACTAATAACGAGAACGTCCATTTATATCAAGTCGTTGCCATGGATATGAATTTTAAGGCAATACCCATGTGCATTGCCTTTTTAAGTCGCGAAACGTCGGCCTTGATTTCTCGATTCCTCTTCTTTTTCCAACGGTGTACCAACAGTCGACAACTGGTAGGCATTGTGACCGATGATTCACCTGCAATTGCTGCTGCTATTACGCAGGTGTATCCGGATGCACACCATATTCTGTGTCGCGTACACCTTGTTCGGAATGTGATAAAGAGGGTAAGTGTTTCGTTCATTAACATTAACCCAGTAACCGTTATTGTAGAGGGTGCGATCAGAAATTGTACAACTGTTCTTTCGCCTCATGTTCACTCGAACGGTTGAAAGGTAAATCAAAATCTACATAACATGATTTTGTAGTTTTAACAACGTACTTTCGTTAATCGAAATGTCGGACGTCGACTTCAGGAACGACTGACACCAGTTGCCTGTCAACTACTGAAGCGACACCTTCGCATTCCTATAACGCAGTCTGCATTGACGGAAGATTTATTCACCGCTATGGACGCCACGGGGACGTACTACGTACACGTCGACACTAGCCGGTGCTCGTGTCCATTCTTCATTGAAAACGGATTACCATGCCGTCACATATTGGCTTACTGCATACACAGTAACACCGAAGTGAACGTACAGTCAATTTGTGACAGGTGGTTACACTATGATGGTTATCTGACTCATATTGCAGTTGAAAATTATTTCCCAATGCAACTGAGTCAGCCAAGCATGAAGAATGCTGTGATAGCGTTAATCAGGCGAATGTCGGAGGAACAATGCAGTTCACTTCATGACTTCATAGTTCACGGTAGACTACCAACAACGCCAGTAAACTTACATGGAGAACAGCATTCGTACACCCTTTCAAGAACCTCGACTAACGTAGCAGTGCCGTTTATACAACGAGGAACTGTTGATTTGGATGAAACGCTCAGTAACGATGAGGAGGAAGTAATTTCTATTAACTCCGAAGAGTTAACTGAACGGGACATCGAAAATGAAGAAGAGCATGACGAGAATCGACTCTGCGACATCTGTAATCTTGCGCAGCCTCCGTGTGAAACCGGTGATGCGGTTGGTTGGGTTTTCTGTAGATGTGAAGCAATGTTTCATACCTTCTGTGCCTACGACCCATCGCCGAACGTACGAGCAGTGCACTGTCCTATCTGTGGCGCCATTACAAACTAATAGTGATGACGTTCGACCGCGAGAACGAGTAAAGGCCCTTTTCAGGGCCACCCACAATTTGATTTCCATTATTTTTTATCTACTACTTTTCCGCCGCAAAGGTCAAGTGATTAAGCACTTATTAATGTCTCATGAATTTAGATATCCCTTAGAGATTAATAGTGGAAAAGCGATTATCGTTCATGTATTCGTAAACTTGTTTCTAACGTTTATTAGATATAAAGGTTAAGAAAACTTAGACAAGATTTTGTCATCTAATGAAGACTAATCTAGTAATTTTATATTGAAAATAATGTGATTAGCGTTCATGTTTTAGTAACACATTTGTAAACTATCTAATAAAAGTACATTTTGAGTACATTTTAATAGGAATATTTTAAATGAGTGAAAATCGTAATTTTGTCGTTAGGTCAATAAACTTATGATGACATTTATTAGTGAATGTAATAAGATAATTACAAAGATGAATGTGATTAAAGCTCATAGAGAAGTAAACGAAATTGAGAAAATTAACTTATTTAGGAATAAAATAATGACATTTGAAAACAAGTTGAAACCATCATCATTGAAATGATGATGGTGATAAAAGGTCATACAGTAAGTGTAAAAAGAAATAAGAATATTATCCGTTTCATAGATACACAAAACAAGAACTTCATATTCTTGTTTTATATTAAAATTTCCTGAAACCAGAACTATGCGTACGTAAGAAGTACGTCTGATCGTAAACTAAGCCTCCATAGTTATTCATAACTACTGATTATATCACCGTGTTCATTTGCACACCTCATCAACTATTTATGACTGGTACAATCTCGTTGTACCAGTTAAATATTCCCTTAAAATATTCAAAAATCAAAAATAATTTAGGAAACAATCGTTTTCCTTAACTTCATCATCACACTATACAGTTATTAGTCCATAATTTTATTATTTTATAAAGTCCAAAAATAAGGCATGACATTTATGAATTTGACAATGTAATGTGTTAACAATGGTTAACGTTTACATCTGTAACGATATATATATTTACAAATTAAAAAGGTCATTCACTAAAGGTCGGGATGATTTGCAGTAAAGTGTTCAGTCACAATAAGTGACTAAGCATTATAGGAAAATTGAAAATGCAAAAAATTTTGTGTCAATGAAATACATAGTACAAGAATGGAATCTTGTCAATTGACATAATAATAATAATAATAATAATAATAATAATAATAATAATAATAATAATAATAATAATAATAATAATAATAATAATAAGGAAAATAAATAATACTAATAGCATTGTAAATGTTCATTGATACAGTTGACCTTATTCATATTTATACGTTTAAAGTCGATAGATATTTGTTGAGTCAGTCAGACGACGTAGGCTTGTTCATTTACACTTCATGAAACTGATATTTCAAATGCTTGTCAAAAATGGTTACATTCATAATGTCTAGATAATTCAGGTTTCATATTACGGCGGTTAACAATATTCACACATGACTGATTAAACAAACTAGTTTTTATTACGACCAAAAAATTAATTTTAAAATACAGAACTACAAATAATTTACAAGTGAACACAATAAACCGTTTCAATGGACTTTTACAAATTAACCACATTTAAATCTAACGTTGTCTAATTCTCATTATGAATGAACATTTACAAAATAATCCTTTACTAAATATTAAGTGTCTATTTCGGAAAATTTATTACTACTTTCATATACTGTCAAAGTCAGTTCATTAAATGATCGTCTACGGTTGGTTCACCTGAATTATACATATTGCAACCAGTAATTTATCATGATGATTTATTGATATGTTGATTTCTTTTTCCCATTAACACACCGTGTGTTACAAAAAAGCCTATGCACACACTTTGGTGATAATTTGTTTATTAATTTGGTATTAAATATTTGACTACCGACCTCATTCAGTAATCACTATTATCAAATATTCAAACCGGTTTACAGATGCTTTTTCCCAAAAACTTTCTTTTACTGAGATACATATGATTATTCCTGTTCCGATAACTAACGACTTCAATTCAAGGTATACTTGATCGGAAAACAAAAATTGATCCCAATACACATTCACTAACAGTAGGATTGCATGGTAATGCAATTAAGTTGGTGTCTTTTTCTTCAAAAGTCTAAATTTTTTTCAAGACTAAGATTACACAAAAAAAATTATTCATTATCATTAAATTTCAAATGTAAAAAATGAAAATTCTGGTATCCAATCACAGCTCCAGATGTGATTTCGATTTCAACTAATCAGATTACAAAGATGAACAGTTTACGACCAATCACAAAATTATTAAAGGTAACAAAATGTTTGTTCATTATCACTTGAGCACACACTTGCAAAACAAGTCCACCAATCAATGATACCTAAATTTTTCATTCACACCCCACAATTTTTTTAAAAGGGGTGGTAGGGAATCATATAGGCCGGTTACTTAATGTCAACCACTTCTCCCCATAAATTATCCATATACAAGAACTATTTTCTGATTGGTCTAAAAACTAGGCAAAATTTTGTTTTGGTTGTTGTATGCTCATCTTGATGCTATACTTTTATCGGATAGCCCACAACTAAATTAGAGCTAAATAAGAACTTTCGTCTAAATTTGAACGAATAGTTTCACAATATTTGGGCGCCGAGTTAATTTGAGACATTAAAAAGAAGAATATATTTGTAATTTTGTGTTGTTTGATTATATTTTCCTTGAAAAAGCTTGGACCAGATTGCCAGGCGAAACGTTGGATTTAGTTAAAATTCATTCGCTGAGATGGATGAAGCAATCACACTTCAGATAACACTTCTTGAATCTTTGGACGAAATCTATTACTATTCGTTTTTATTTGTATAAAGCATTTTATATGATATCGATCCGTGATGAAAACCTTAATCCTAGTTACAACAGACCGTACCCGGACTCCTAATTCCCAGCCTTAGCCACTTTTTATTCATCGACCACGTTGAAGCTGCTGATCTATCTTAATTTGTTTTTGCTACAGACTACTTTATAACTAAACATTGTTTTTTAATTCATTTAGGGTTGTTGGTATAATACACTTTTGTAGTGTATGCTACTTACGTTCTCAGATATAAGTGATATGTAACACCAGTCGTAAGTAGCATGTCTGCGAGCAGAAGGTTGAGAAGATTAAAATGAAGAGAAGAGAGAAGGAAACTGAAAGCAATCAAGATAACAAGAGGAATGAAGGAACCATGAAGCTTGCAAGAGACAATTCAAAGATAAGCAACTGATGGATTTAATGTATGGTTTTCATATTCTACGAAAGTACCTTGTAATTTTGCACTAAACAACAAACTAGTTACCCTGAAGTGTTAATGCGATTCAGTAATCTATTCAAGTTCTCAATCTTTTAATTGACTGAAACGGGTCGAAATCTCAAGGTTGTTCTTCAGTATACTTTAGCCTTGTTCTGTTTCAATCAAAGTATTTGGTTCGAAGGAACACATACAAAAAGCTTCAACCAAGTCGCAGATTCGAATTTTTTTCTCAGTCTATTTCTGTTCGAGCAATCAAGTAGTGTTATTAATTTCTGAATAAAAGTGTGGTTTCAAAGCTGAGTACTTTGTAAATGAATTAAGACAAAATTACTTCTGTTAGGTTATATATCTCCATAATTTTAAAATTACAAATGACTAGTGTTATTACATTTTAACAGCAACAAGTGGTGTGGTGATATTAACTGAAATAGAATTAATTGAAAAAAGATTGTGTACATAGATTATTTCATACTCAAAATTAAGTGATTCACTTCATTACTATTGTTCGGTTAAATAGAGGAAAGATCTATGTCAGATTTATCACATGATAAAAATGAAGTGTTGAGTGATTTGCCCGCTATTACTTCGACTTTGTAGAAAAACAGTCGTTTTTTAGACCGGAGATATGGATAGGTTGCTAGTATCCAATTAGAGGAGAATTCAAAGTAATGCCCACATACAATGGAATCACCAAGTGAGCAATCTTGAGGTTAGGTATTGAGTAATACGTGAACATGATAAAAATAATTGATGTGTCAGTGAATCATCTTCAACTGAGATGTTATGGACGCCAAGAGACCGCTTACTCCAATGGTGACTAGTAAAAGAGTAGGTTAAAAAGGGCCAAGGGCTATCAGAATACGATATTTTATTAGTCCATGAAGTTACTGGGTAATGGTCTAAACCGATTAAACGGTATGCGGTTCTTTGTTGAGGACCATCATAATAAACACAATCTCACTAGAAACGTCGGGTGACACGCCACCCGAAATCGGTTGCAGTAGTGCAGTTCCATTTACTTTTCTCATTATCTTTTAAATTTAGTGTTAACGTTGTCGAATGTTTTTTACTCCCCCAATCTCATTTGCTCGTTTTAAACGATATCCTCTATTCACTTAGCCAATGTTATTGATATCATTATCTCAGCATTTTTTCATATTACAATGTAAATTGTATCATTTCCCATATGAAAATATACTATATTTTGATAAATTGTTGTATAGATATTTCTATAATCTAACCTCACCTCAGAGCATAGAAACTCTCGTAAACTGGAACGTAATACTTTTCTTCCATCACCTTGCCGAGAAAATGGAGTTAAACCTGAGCCTTTCAATTGTAATTCCCAACGTTCACCTTGTTTATTGATCACTTCACCAAGTGAACTAGAAGAAACAAATAACTTCAGTGACTGAGTAATATACAATAACAAGATCAAAGTTTTCATTTCTGATATATATATATATATATATATATATATATATATAAAATAACACAACTAAATTGAAAGGTGAGACGACTTTATTTCACCAGCGGCGACTTTCAGAACATAGACAAACAAATCTCTGTAATTATTGGTAAAACGAAAATATTTACTACAAACAAATGAACAATGATCGTACTATGATTTCATTTTAACAACTAAATATTTAGAACAACATATATAAGCGAACAATATTGTTTTCGATTAGATCCTCATCAGGCTTTACTCTAATATACAGTAATATTTATATGCATATACGAAATTATTAAACCAATCAAGGTAGTTTATAAGTCAATGATAACAATGGAAAAGATTACATAATAAGTAAAATGTGAAAATTACAAATTGATGGTGTGACAACAGGTGCATTAGTTTTTGATAAGCAATAATAATAATGGTTCAAATCAATGTTACATAATCTGAAATAGGTCAATGATTAGGAGAAAATATAGACAGTGAGATAACAATTATGAAGATTATAAGATGACGTAATAAGAAATGTTCAGATAATTGGACCATGAATAGGAATCCGAGCCAACAAGCCAAGTCTTTGTGTTCAGAAGAAATTTGTAACTCCCTTATCTCTCCCTTGGCCTTAAGTAATAAATGAATTTATTTATTTATTTATTCCTTTTCTAACTTTCTCTTCGTTTATTATTTTTCTTCACACCCTCCTACCATTTTATTTTCTCTCAACTATACGTTTCATGGTCCAATTATCTGAACATTTCTTATTACGTCATCTTATAATCTTCATAATTGTTATCTCACTGTCTATATTTTCTCCTAATCATTGACCTATTTCAGATTATGTAACATTGATTTGAACCATTATTATTATTGCTTATCAAAAACTAATGCACCTGTTGTCACACCATCAATTTGTAATTTTCACATTTTACTTATTATGTAATCTTTTCCATTGTTATCATTGACTTATAAACTACCTTGATTGGTTTAATAATTTCGTATATGCATATAAATATTACTGTATATTAGAGTAAAGCCTGATGAGGATCTAATCGAAAACAATATTGTTCGCTTATATCTATGTTTTTCTAAATTTACAATATGGGAATATTTCAAACTAAATATTTGTCAACCTTCATAATAATACGTGTTCAGCATAAAATGACGAGTCTTGAGTTCAACATTTTAAAGAATAATGAATCTTAGGCCCAAAAATAGTGTGGTCAGCGGAACCAAACAATCGTTGTAAAATATCATGAATTGACTGAAGTTGGAAATGTGAGTCTTTGGACGGTAAATTGGTAATATGAAAGCTTGTAACGAGGTATAAACGTCGTGAGTCTGAACGCAGTTGGTGTTATGGTTGCACGTTGATGATGAGTTGCATGTTGGAACGAAACAGTTGTAAAGCCAATTCAGATAGGCCTTCAACAACTGACTACCAGAGTTCAGTCTGTAAGATACATAATGGAGAATCCGAAACATCCCAAATACGCTATACAGAACAAAATTGTGAACAATAATTTTAATCTTGAGTTGAAGGATGTGAAAGCATGAGAGTGTAAGTGCTATAATGCTCGCTTATTACAACCCAGCTATTCCTATTGCTTAGTATTCTTAACCACCAATTCACTCGACAATCCCCAAATCAGAATGCGATTGAATAGGAAAGAGATTATATTCCAAATAACAAGGTTAGATGGAAGTAAGAAGCACAGTAGGAAAAACGTTAGTATATTCAGTTTTTTACACGAGAAGATTCTAGTGTTCTCCAAGTATCGACCAGCGCTGATTGGATTAGAATTAGCCAATCAGCGTGCACCAACGCAATCGTGCATTGAGCATTTTTTAATCTAATCTATGTCCCGCTAACAGTAAGTTACCTATATTTCTATAATCTAGCTATTCACAGAATCTTTCGGCATAGACTACTGCTTTCAATGTGATCGTAAACATTGTTATCTGCATCACAAAAATATGGGAATATTGAGTATTCTTTGGTAAGTATCGGCTGTTTTGATTGCAATTTGGAATACTATACAGATGTTGGCGTATATTTTTCCCAAATAACTCGGAATGTAAAGAAAATGTAACATTGGGAAAAACGTTATAACTTAAACTTTGAGTGGCATCTAAGCTATTGAGGTACGCATCATTAAACGGTATAACGCATCAGCTGAATCATTAAATTAGGTATCTATTTCCACCCTAAATGAAGAGGTCAACAATCCTGTGAGCATATACACATATGGAGCTGAGAACGGACTGGGGAACGAAATTAGTCATCACTAGGCCATTCAAGTAATGCATAGACAACTCGATCTTACATTAGACCAGTTACATGCAGAATAGCCTGTCAGATGAGTTGGAAACGTACAAGTGAATTTGTTTTGTAATATTACGTACATATTACTTGGTTGGAGTGCGCGCGACTGTTGTAACCAATTGTTGGGGATTCTGGGTGATATGTTTCAGAATCAATAACAATGGCGTTATTGTATGCCCTCCTCAGCTTACCTTAAACTCTGAGATTAAAATGACTTTATAGCTTTCTTCCTACGATCTAATTCTTTCATTCTGTATTATATCCTTATACACAATATTTTATATATTACTACCACTGAGGTAACTACTTCTACGGACTTGACGTTCATCTTTTTGCGCTAATGAGGTGTGGAAATTTGGACCGATACACATATGTGCCTGTCAATAAGTTTTATTTTATTTTAAATAGAGCAAGAACAAAGATTGGTGCAGAATAATATGAATTCATTTTATTTCGTTAGGCTCTCATCAGCTGCTTACAACCTAAATTATTTGAAATTCAACATTATTACAGATATTGACATATAAATACATAAGAGTGTGATGAAGGATCAATACATGTGTATGATGATGTAGCAAGCAAAGATTCAGATAGAGTTAATGAGCTCATAAAATGTTTGATTCGAATAAATAAATAAAGTTAGAGAGGGAAAGTTCTGGAACATTGAAATAGTGATTAGAACTCATGAAAATAGATTAATGGTAATAAAGAAAATATGAATTGAAATCAATCAGTTATGTATGATGTAATTTATATTTCAGAAAGAGTTGCAATAATGACGCAATAAATAAATAAATAGGAGCAAATGAATAGAAAGAGTAGGGGTTATTGTTACCAGGGTAAAGAAAGATTTATTACTGTCTCTTTTTGTATACATAGATCTGGTTTTAAACGTTTGATTGCTAACGCTTCAGCGAATTTCAAAAGGTTCGAGTTTGATTGTTTGTTAATCACCTTGAAGGACTTCAGTATATCAACTCCATGTCCTGTATCAAGGAGATGTCTTGCGATAGCATTGTTGAATGCGTTCAATCCACTTAACCTTAAACTTTTCGGAATATGTTCTTTGAATCGGACGTAGGCTCTTCTTTCTGTTCTACCAATATAACTGCTTTGGCAGGTACATGTAAATTTGTATACACAGTTGGTGGTAATATGAAAGGGATACCTGTCGACCTTCAATTGTGTCAAAGAACATGTTGTTTTGGACAGGACAATCAATTTCGCTGCAGGATAAGTTCTCGTCAGTGCAGTTTTAAGTCTCATATTGATTGATCCTGTGATGTCGTCACCTTTGAATTGAAGTTGAATAAAAATAGGCTTTTTATTTGCTGTAATTTCTTTCGGTTTTTCATCTTCACATTTGCTACATCATCATACACATGTATTGATCCTTCATCACACTCTTATGTATTTACATGTCAATATATGTAATAATGTTGAATTTGAAATATTTTAGGTTGTAAGCAGCTGATGAGAACCTAACGAAATAAAATGAATTCATATTATTCTGCACCAATCTTTGTTCTTGCTCTATTTAAGATAATAAAGGGAACTATGTGTATGAAATAATAATAATATTGTTGTGTGAATATAATATGTAATAAGGGGGCTGTTATCAAGGTAATTACGGTCAACAAATTGGGAATGATGGATATGAAGATTAAGATATAGATAATGACAAATAATGATAATAAGGAAAATAAATAAAAATGAAGGAAGGAAGGGGTAAGAGGTTTATATTATTCAGTCTAGGTATTTGGTGATCCAGTCGTAGGCCAGGGTAAACATAGAGGCTGGATATATTTTTTCTGGATGCATAAATTAGGTCTTCTGGAGTTGATCCAGATGGCTTCGGCTGTGTAAAGCAGCCGTAATCTAGCTCCTTGAGGTAGATATTTTGGAACTTGATATAAAACAGAGAAAGCTTCCTCTATTTTAATATGATGTTCACTATCTACCAAGTGAGAAAGAATGGTGCCGTTAATCGATTTGGTGACTCCTTTTCCCAACCATGCTGGTACATGTTCACGAACACGCAAGGATAAAGCCCTCTGAGTACGGCCTATGTAACTAGCTCCACAGGAGCAGTTGAATTGGTATACACACATGGAGAAGCCCATCTTCGGTAACTTATCCTTGACTAGTTGTGTGAGTACTGGTTTAGTCGAGAAAGTTATGTGTAACTTGGCAGCATGAAACGTCCTCTCGACAGATCTTTTGAGTCGACGTGTTAGAATATCACCCGCTATGTCGCCTTTAAAGTCAAGTTTTAGATATAAGGTCTTTTTACTGACCGTGTCACAATGTCTTCTCTTTTTAATACTTTGTACGAGGTATTTTTTGACGAAATTATCCGGATAGCCATTATTACGTAATGTGCTCTTTAGTATAACTATTTCTTCCTCCACACTGTCTTCAGAGCATAATACCTTGATTCTGTGGTTGAGACACTTAACCAAATTTATTGAAATTAAGATAACTACCATTCCATGTGTCTTTCTTATAAACTGAACGTTGAACCCAACCATCTTTTCTTCTTTTCATCGCGATATCAAGGAAATGGAACTTGTTTTCTTTTTCATGTTCCATACTGAAATGGATATTCGGATGTGCTTTGTTGAAAAACTCTAGCAGATTTATTGAATGTTGTTTATTATTACATACAATGAAGGTATCATCAACATACCTCGAATAATACGTCATTTCATCAATCGCTCGTTTGAGTTTGGTTCTTTCGAGGTTAGCCATGAAAATATCTGCTAGGACAGGACCTAACGGACTTCCCATCGCTACACCGCCGGTTTGTTTGTATTTGATATCGTTGAACTGGAACTGAACATCTTTTGTACAAATGAGTAATAGTCGTTTGAATTCTGGTACTGGTAGAGGTAGGATGTCAGAATGTTGACAAATTATGTCTATGGTTTCAAGAAGTGGTATTTTTGTAAACAATGAGGTTACATCAAAAGAAACCATAAACTTACCAGCAATATTAATGTGATTCATGCTGTCAGCAAATACAAATGAATCCTTTAGTGTATAGGTGGCTAATCGTTGACGCACTGGTTCTAACTTATATGCTAACCATCGTGCAACTTTGTAGTATGGTGAATTGATCATTGACAAAATAGGTCTAAGAGGATAACCTTGTTTATCTATTTTCGGTAATCCATACATGTGGGGCAAACGAGACCCACGAGGTCGTAGATTATTGTAAGTAGGGTTCAACGTTCAGTTTATAAGAAAGACACATGGAATGGTAGTTATCTTAATTTCAATAGCTTTTGTCCAATGAGTTACAAAAAGGCACTGGTCAAAACACTGTTTCACAGAACAGAAAGAATTTGTACTTCCGATACACTCGAAGAGGAAGTTATGAATGTTAAAAAATGTTTAAAAAATAACGGATACCCACTGAAATTTATTGAAAAATACGGCAAATGTGAAGATAAAAAACCGAAAGAAATTACAGCAAATAAAAAGCCTATTTTTATTCAACTTCAATTCAAAGGTGACGACATCACAGGATCAATCAATATGAGACTTAAAACTGCACTGACGAGAACTTATCCTGCAGCGAAATTGATTGTCCTGTCCAAAACAACATGTTCTTTGACACAATTGAAGGTCGACAGGTATCCCTTTCATATTACCACCAACTGTGTATACAAATTTACATGTACCTGCCAAAGCAGTTATATTGGTAGAACAGAAAGAAGAGCCTACGTCCGATTCAAAGAACATATTCCGAAAAGTTTAAGGTTAAATGGATTGAACGCATTCAACAATGCTATCGCAAGACATCTCCTTGATACAGGACATGGAGTTGATATACTGAAGTCCTTCAAGGTGATTAACAAACAATCAAACTCGAACCTTTTGAAATTCGCTGAAGCGTTAGCAATCAAACGTTTAAAACCAGATCTATGTATACAAAAAGAGACAGTAATAAATCTTTCTTTACCCTGGTAACAATAACCCCTACTCTTTCTATTCATTTGCTCCTATTTATTTATTTATTGCGTCATTATTGCAACTCTTTCTGAAATATAAATTACATCATACATAACTGATTGATTTCAATTCATATTTTCTTTATTACCATTAATCTATTTTCATGAGTTCTAATCACTATTTCAATGTTCCAGAACTTTCCCTCTCTAACTTTATTTATTTATTCGAATCAAACATTTTATGAGCTCATTAACTCTATCTGAATCTTTGCTTGCTACATCATCATACACATGTATTGATCCTTCATCACACTCTTATGTATTTATATGTCAATATCTGTAATAATGTTGAATTTCAAATAATTTAGGTTGTAAGCAGCTGATGAGAGCCTAACGAAATAAAATGAATTCATATTATTCTGCACCAATCTTTGTTCTTGCTCTATTTAAGATAATAAAGGGAACTATGTGTATGAAATTTATTGTATTTATTTCAACACATAAATATTGGTAAAAGAGTTCACCAAATATATATGCGCCACACCATATTTGTGTGTGTGCGGGCTGTGATACCAACCGGGTGCCCAGACCGAAGCAGGTGGTCTTCTTAGGGGGCCACCCCCCGAGCCTTCGACCTAAAGGTCTAATCCACAAGGCAGTGGAGCATGGTGAGGAGATGTATTCCCATGGTAGCCGGTGACCAAAAATTGGTTTATACGCCATTTGTTCCCGTGGGATACTGAAGCCCATGTGCACCATTGGTTTGGGATCCGGTTAAAGCGCCGGACATTCGCTTTTCGTCCTCTCATTTTCGTGAACAACTCCCTCGCCACGAGAAGGCAGTGAGTAGGACTTCCCTGGCAGAGAATTTGTACGTACGTACATCAGTTCAAGTTGCCATACTACATTAGCACAGTGATGCAGTTGTCGATTCAAATCCCGTAGTGGTAGAGGTAGTAGGAGAATAAGTAGTAATCGGAAACATTAGGGTTTGAAGATGTTATTCAAAGGGTATAATCCAGTGAAATAAATTTGGAAGGAGAAAAAAAGAAAATAAACAATTCAGAAGATTAGAATTTGGGAGAACACAAAGAGTGGATGCACCTGCGCCATTACAAACGATTTTGAGCCATGCCACTCAAGGTCTCCAACCGTCGGCTGCTATCATCTCCCGGATCCCAACCAGTTAGTCTACACCTACCAACATGGCTCAGTCCACTTGTCAGTGATTTCATGGATTTGTGCCATGTTTTGGTCTAGTCGCCCGTAGCTTTCTCCCAACCTAATCCTACACCATAAAACATCGCACGCCGGGGCAGTAGGTGGTTGGGCATACATAACATATGTCACAGACATCTCAACTGATGAAGTTTCACTACTTCATCAATCGATTTGCGATTCTTACCTAGCACCCGTTTCTTACAACTGCATTACTTACTCGGTGGTCCCAGGGTATACAAGCAACGCTTCGAAGACTCCTATGATCGAATGCCAGTAACCTACCAATGTCCTCTACTCTTACCGGCCATGTTTCATTGCCATAAAGTGGGACGGAACGATCTGGTGCACAGTAAACCCGTGCTTTTGGTTGATAGGCGGATATCTCGCCTACGCCATAAATGACACAAGCCGGCAAAAACTAGACAAGACTCCTGTATCCGTGCTGAAATTTCGTCAAACATCAGACCGCACAATCTGATTAGACTCCCAAGATAAGTGAAGCGGTTTACACGCTCCACTACTTCACTCCCTATCATTAGTTCGGGTGTTGATGTATATGCCTGGTCCTGCGTTGTAACTAACTGAATGACTGAGAGGTCAATAGTGATCTGAATCTATTTACGATGAGAACACTGGAACGTCCTTTAAATTGTTTCTAATAATCTAACGCTTTTAATTATATTAACCGAGTCGCTTACCCTAACCAACTAGTATAGTGAAGTAGCATAATGAGTGATTATAAGAAATTCCAAAGTGTTACTTTTTATCGTTAAATATTACACACAGTTAAATACGCTTAGCAAAATAAAAATTCGAAAAAGGCTTACATACATTGCTGCACCATCTCCAAGTTGACCGGCAAAACTACCAAATTGATACCCGCAATAACAATGAGCTGTGGGATCACTACCAGGCCATAATTTGTTTCCTGACAAGTACTCAACTAGATGATTTGTTTCTCCTGTTTTCTCTATACAGTTTTGTTCATCAAGATGGTTAACTTCATGACGAATATTTAGCAAACTAAGTGCATCAAGAGAAAATAAAACTACGCGGGGATTGTCTATTCTGGTTGGACTGACACGTGTGAAACAAGCATTTGGTACAGATCGTATACTATTGGATCCATTGTCGATCGGTAGACATTTCAATTGGATATTATCGAACTGTGGACAATGTTTTGACCACGATGATCTCTCGGAAAAGGAACATGTATTAAATAGCATATGAGTTTCTTTATTAACAGTATTTGAAAGGGCACCAAGATACGTTATGTTAAAACATTGTTCCACTAACTTCTAAAACACCATATAGAATATTAACAGAATATTTGCTTTCATAAAAATGCATAATAATATTTATTTCGTGATGAAAAAAAAATGAATAAAACACATAACAAAGAAGTTTATATGAATGTGTCCCAGTCTAATTTATCACGTTGTGTATCAAGGTGAGATGAATATACGGAACAACAAAGTGATAAAAAAGCTAACAGGAACACGAGTAGATATAAAGCGAAGCTGTAGTAACTGCCCACCATTAAGAGACAACGGTTTGTCATGTAATAAATCACGATACTGCAAAGATGTCCAGACCCAATTAGAAAAAACGATATTTCCGGACAAATGTCAGTTAATTAGATCGCAGGACCATAACCCATAGAATAGTAATATGGTTTGATGCAATTGACGTGCTTCCTCTGATTAATTAGTGCAGTATGGAACCGAATGTAAACACCAATTGAGCCCAATAAACCTAGTAAACATTCATATACTCCGCTTTGAGTCACAATTTCTGTGTTAGAACTGGTAATACTATTCGACGACCTTTATGAGTAGGTACGGATAAATTTAAAACCACGGATCCAATATTTGAAGATCCAGTGGATTACCTATCAAGCTATTGATATAAAACCAACTACTATGGAATATTGAAACCTAAAACGGACTGCCATTTGGTATCTTTATGAATACTTCAAAACAACAAGTGAGTCTTATTGCAAAATTAGGACATAATTTATCAGCCATTCAAGACGAAAAGTTAACCTGTCTGAAAGAGATAGTGAGCTCCTGGGAAGGTTTCAAGAAGCAGTAGCTGAACAGATTCCTGAAACCTCAAACATGGTCTATGATGAGACTGGACAAACTAAACTTATTCATTCCGTTAGAGGTGGTAATCACGGTCTTCAAACTAATCAACAATAATTCTATATCAGACGTGGCATCATGTTTCTTGTCGACCAAAATTTACAATACTCTAAAAAATTAGTGATCCCGGGACTTAATACTAGTCACTTGAGTTCAAACTTTACCATCAAACCATCAGCCGGTAGAAATCAGTTTATGATGTGGTGGAAGCATCATCTATCAACGCATTCGAAATAAAATCGGACCAGGGTCCCCATCTTCAGGACTAGAAAAAGGCATCTAACTTCCTAACCCATCCGAATTCTCACTGAATGTTATCTAATCTTAGTGATATTTTTGCTGTACCCAACCTGCTGATTTTGAGGTTTTCCCTCAGTTTTTGGGGAATTTCTCAAGACTTGGTAAAATTCTTAGGGGTTTTGTGTCATTTCCCCAAAATTGTCTATAACGGCTTTACCTAAATTTCCCTAAGACAGACAAATTTTCTCCCAAGATTTGGAAGTCATAACCCCCTATAAGTAATGTGCGGGGATTTGCTTTTGTGACAAAATCAACCTGTTAATCTATTTTCGGTTTAATCCTACTACGCCTAAGATAGACAGAACCTGGTAGTACAGTTTCTCGAGCAGTGTTATCGATTATTCGTAGATAGAGGACATTTCACAATTTCCCAATTTTTAGAAAAACCCGACCCGTTTTGGGGAAGCCGTTATAGAACATTCTGGGGAACTTCCCTAATATTTTGGGTTTTCCCTCAATTTCCCCTCAAAACTTAAGGAAAGGCCATTGGAGTTTGTGGATTCCCCCAAACGGGAGATTAATCTCCCAAGTGTTCCTACTTCATAAAGGCTTCCATGAAGTAGGACATGAGTGATTTGAGTGTTTTTTGTAGGTCTAAGCCATTTTTCCTGCTGTAAACATAGTCAGTGCATTTCACTGATTCCTCCATAAATCATAGCACCGCAATACTAACCTTTTGGGTATAGACATGAAAGAGAAGTCTCGTATTCCGGAATTGACTTCTAGCAAGGTATGTTGTGTGATGCATTCACCTGTACTTCCCTCGAAGCCAGTGGACGAAGACCCGACTAACGACCTTCAGCGGCTCGCAGTTCCGATACTAAACTACGAAAATCGAATAGTTTCGACATAGTTGGAGGACAGTAAAATGGCAACGCTTCAGGGATATCGTTCGCTGACGAAGGTTGCGAGCACTTGAAGGTCAAACTGTCGCAAGATGATTGATGCGTCACATCGACAATTCAGAAGCGGTCAGATCAAGACATTTCTAGATTTGGATTGAGTTCAGGCGCACCATGTGTGATAAAGTCCATCCTCCAAGTAACGAAGACGATGCCATCGTGATGATGAATGATGTGGGACCAATCTTCAATGATATGATGTTATTTATTCGATTCACAAGTTGAGACAATTTTGAGATCTATTTGAAGGAAGTAGATAAGTTAATATGACTTCTTTGGGTAAAATATTTTTGTAGGATACGCATACTAAGTACGTTATATCAGTATGTCAGTATTGTCAAGTTCACTAAAAACCCTCGCGGTTTTGTTCCAACGACCTTGAACGCTAAAATATGAGACGCCCATTCAAATAATTCGAATTCAAATTTGTGTAGTAAGGACAGAAGGCCTGCGGCCTATGTTATTCTTCCTTTTAGTATGCTGTTACGAATGTCCAGTCTTCATTTGAATGTGTCAATTGAAGGTGCGGACATCAATGTTTTAGATAACAGATTTGAAGTATTGATGACTTGGTGTGAAAACCTGTACGCCACGGGTATTTTGTTCGTTCTTGGCCTTTCTACCCGCCTGCTATGTCCTCTGAGATGTCTCGATCTAATGGAGAGAAAAAGAGAGAATAAGTTAGGTCGAAAATCATTTACCAGTATTCTGTACATCAAACTTATATCTCCCCTTAATCCGCGATGGGATAGAGTAGAGTTTCAACTATTCAAAATCACTGCGAAAAATACTAACTAGGCTTTCTCTCATTTGTAGTGTACACGTTTACTCGAGTTTTATTTCGTCACTTGATCTGGTATACCGATTGTTCAGCTAACCTTCACCGTCTTTGTCTAAAAGTAGATAGGGTCATGAATACAGCATATTAAGAATAACTTAAGAGTTCTGAATACGAAAAGGTTACATGAATCTCTGTTTTACGCGAGAATTAAGACGAAGTGTCAAATAACGGCTCAGTTTCAAATGTTAGCAATACTTTCTTCAGTTATTAAAGTATTGCAATGAATAACTTTTTTTAAAGTTGTCCAGTTCTGTTTGTAGTGTTTCATGTTCAAGAGATATTTCAGCCGATGTAAGCAGAGCGCTTCAACGTATAATACTAAACAAGAGTTTCAGAAGCTGGACTGAATTCGACAGTGTTCTGAATGAGTTCCAAAGAGTGAAAAATTTTGTTATCATTTTCAGGCAATCCATACTCACCATGTTCAAGTCAACTGTAAATTAATGAAGGACATGAGGTTTCAATTCATGTTCATGGTGCATCAGTACACACTGGACGACCAGCGTAAACTACAAGGACTAACAGTGAGTCAAGACCGTGAGAACTTTTCTTGACATGTGACTGTAGAGATAAATAAATCCATAAAATAAATAGCACTGTAAGTTTTCGACATTGGATGCAGACCACATGTTTTAGTGGACTCATCTAGCTGAAGGCGTTCGGTCAGGCATCCGTACCAGATCACTTGTGGTAACGCCGTGCTCAACATCTATCGCAATCGCTAGCCAGATTAGATAAGAGTATTCCGATATATTGGTAATCGCCAAATACAGTCTTCCGATCTCCTCGATTCTGTCTTTTGATTTCTCTGGGTGGGAACGAATTATAATAGAAGGTGTTACTGGTAGAAGCGTTGTCAAACACTGAATACCTGTGCCGTCTTCGCTGGTGAGACCGACGTGATCTGGTACACCTAATTGCTACTGTGAGTCCGTTCCTTTTTGGGATTTATATATACTATCACCTTATTTTTTAATTTTTCATACATCGTGATATTTTTTCCTCGTGTTTTAAGATATTTATATATTAGTCCCTCGTATTCTCGTACCTAATATTCCTCTATGACCGAACAGACTCCAAAAGTATTTTAGATTAAAACCATGTCCCCAACCTCGTCCCACCTCATGCCTTTCTGACCCGACAATATCAAAGCCGGGTTCTGTTACGCAGAAGCCGAATTCCACGAGCACGGCGTGAACGACACACGTGCACGATTCCTCGCAGTAGTCAAGGCACTACCGCGCGAATTCAACAGGTACGCAACACCTAGTATGTTTACTAGTGATGTTTCTGAACCTTAGGTAACCCTAAAACGTTCTATCTTTAAACGAGGAGACCCAACCGATCGACAAAGGTTAGATCAACTCTTTAATAACATAGACCTGCAACACGGTTCAGCGACGGACATGTTGCAAAGGATGAGAGGGGTTATAGGCCCTAGAACTTTCGACGAGAGCCTATTCAAACAACTTTTCTTGTCTAAACTTCCCCAACAGGTGCAAGCTGTGCTTGTCTCGTTCCACAACAACGCTTTAGACGAGCTGGCTGAATCTGACGACCGCATTTTAGAAACTACGAAATCTTCTACTACCGAGGTTTTTTCAGTCAAAGAAAAGCCTAACACGACTCAGAATGACATAACCGAGTTATTCCATACACCTACACGTTATCTTAATTCTCGTAACGACCGTAAGCGATCACACCCTTCACGTAGAAGCACTTTAAATAAGCGATCTGTCTCTAGACCACGAGAGACAGATAACCCCGACTGGTGCTGGTATCATAACCAGTATGTGAAGTTATCCAGAAATTGCAGAAAACGCCGCAATTTTCCCAACACGAAAACGACTGACTCGAAAAACAATTCGGGAAACTTCCAAGCCGGCACGCGTTAACGGCAACCGTAGCCGGCGAACATAGCCGTCTGTTATACGTCACAGATGTGACAACGAGAGTTCGCTACCTCGTCGATACTGGCGCAGAAGTTAGCGTTCTCCTAGCAAATCCCAACGATCGGCTTCAAGATTCGGCTCCAAACTTACAGGCGGCAAACGGAAAACCGATCGCTACGTATGGCAAAAGGTACGTTTACCTTAACGTGGGTTTACGCAAACCCATCCACTGGATTTTCGTTGTTGCAGATGTTTCTATGCCAATCATTGGTATGGACCTTCTACAACACCACAATCTGATCATCGACACTCGCAAACGGAGGCTAGTAGACGGAAACACCAGTTTATCCGTTTGCGTAATTTCCTTTTCTGGTTGCAGAGTATCCCCAGTCACAGTTAAGCATATGATAGATCCACTCTATCAACCACTACTCGACAAGTACCCTGGGATACAACAAACTCAACCGAAACTACCGTGTGTAACCAGCAATGTTTCACATCACATCACGACTACAGGACCACCTGTATTCTCTAAATCACGACGACTAGCCCCTGAAAAGCTAAGGTTAGCGAAAAACGAGTTCGACAACATGATAGACTTAGGAATCATACGGCCGTCAAACAGCCCATATGCATCTACGTTGCACATGGTCCCTAAAAATCTTGACAAGCGCGGCCTGCTTGATTATCTGGGCTGCCTGTTCCTGTCATCTAGATATTTCAACAAGTTATCTATTTTTGTTTGTTTTAATATACCACTATGTTTATTTATCGCATAACCTATTCTGCTGCCTTTCTGAAAAGTTAACAACCTTCCGTTATCAAAGCTACAAAAAACCCAATAAAAGACAATGTGGCTGCTGGCAATATACAGCGAATAGAATGCACATTATTCAGATGTTCATTTAGTGAACTGCTAACATCTAACTGGCGATCACTCAATATTTATAGCCAGGACCGACCAAGAAGAAAAAGACGGAAACTTGTTGAAATGCTTTACGCTGAGAATTCTATATTGTACCAAAAATATAATACTGAATAAAGCTGAAAAAAAGGACAGCAACGATTGGCGTCCAACTGGTGATTATCGGCGATTGAATACGAAAAACATTCCCGATCGTTACGCGTTGCCTCACATTCACGATTTGACAGCTACCTTGAAGGGTATAACTGTTTTTTCGAAAATCGACTTGGTTAAAGCGTATAACCAAATTCCCATGGCCACTGACGACATACCGAAAACCGCCATAACTACTCCTTTCGGACTCTATGAATTTTCGCGAATGCCTTTCGGTCTAAGAAATGCTGCTCAAACATTGCAAAGATTCATAGATGACGTTTTTCGAGGTCTCAATTTCGTACATGCGTATGTCGATGACTGTCTAATCGCAGGTCCGGACAGAGAATCACATCTCAAGCATCTGGATCTTGTTTTCGAACGACTACAAAAACATGGCATTTTTGTAAACGTTCAAAAATGCCAAATCGGGACCGATTCATTAGATTTCCTAGGACACACTATCGATACTCAAGGCATTCGACCCCTTAGGTCCAAAGTGGCGGCCATTCTGGATTACCCAGAACCGACCAACGTCAAGCAATTACGAACATTTAACGGCCTGGTAAGTTTCTATACACGCTCCATTCCGAAATGCGCATTACTTATGAAACATCTTACCGACTAACTTTGTGGAAAGACGAAATCCATCAATTTGGACGACATCGCACGAAAAGCATTCTCCACAGTTCAGGAACCTATCGCTAAGGCAACAATGCTTGCACATCAGGACACTGAAGCACCCATTTGCATTACAGTAGACGCATCCGATTCAGCGATCGGAGGAGTCTTACAACAATGGGTTAAAAACTTCTGGCAACCATTAGCATTTTTCTCTAGACGGTTGCTAGACACTGAATCAAGGTACAGCACATTCGGTAGGGAACTCCTAGCTATGTGTTGTGCTGTACGGCATTTTCAACACTACATCGAAGGCCGTGACTTCACCCTTTTTACCGAACATAAACCTCTCACCTTCTCTCTAAGCTCTCCTTCTGACAAGAACTCTCCCCGTGAGTCTCGACAACTGGACTACATTTCGCAGTTTACTTCAGATATTCAACACATCTCTGGAGCAAACAATGTAGTTGCAGACGCCTTATCTCGCATAACTTCCTTGAACAGTTTCCAAGGAATCGACCTTCTTAAACTCGCCGAGCTTCAAAAAGAAGACACTGATCTTCAGCACGAGTTATCGTCCACAACCCTTAAACTACGCATCAAACAGATGGGAACAGGTAAAGAAACCTTACTTTGTGACACATCTACAGGTAGGGATCGCCCAATCGTGCCGAAACATTATCGACGCAATGTCTTCAACACATTGCACA